GGTAACTCAAAGAAAGAGAAACATAATTAATATAACAAAACATTTTAGAAAAACCACACAATGTTAGTATGTGCGCGCCTCATAATATCAGTGTTAGGCTTAACCAAATGATTAATGAACTATATTAATGAAGAAAACTGCAAAGCAAACTATTAAAGTGAAAAATGGACTAATTTACCCCTGTGTGGCTGATGCCATCACACACACATCACGTGATATTTATAGTATTTTATCTGACTTGTGAGTATTTTGTTGAATCGAAACTTACCAAAAGTAACGAGTCTTGAGAAAACAATCAATGTCATCAGTTATGTCGTTATCAGCAAAAGCTTAAGGAAAAAAGAAATTGTTTTTAATATGCAAAGTAAAAGAAAAAACGTGCTTAAGTGAATTCCTGTTTTTTCTGTTTGCTTCTGGTGCAAGGACTTACCTGTGCAGTTGGTTCCGCACACATTTCTGGACCAGCAATAAGCAGAATAACAGAAATGGCTGTCAGAGAGCTGGAAGAGCCCATCAAGGCCCAGGGACCAAAGCTTGATCACTGTGTGTTCTGCTTCTGCGTTTTCCTTACTGCTGTTTTCACCCTCTTGACTGGATGCCCTTTTGTGTTTCTTCTAAAGGGCTGATCGTCTCTTACGTTTCCCACTTGTCTCTTCTGCCATCTTGACCACCTCACTGCTCTCACTGTTGTCATCCATGATACGGTTATCATCTCGCTCCATCTCCTCCTCATCAAACACGTTTTCCTCCTGCTGGAGCAGTTCTGCCATGGACATCTCATTGTTGTTTGAATTAGCGTCTCGCTGTCTTCTTTTGCTGCCAGCCGTGGTGGTTGATTCCAGAGTTGTTTCTGGGAGAATGGTGGTTGATCTTGCGTTGGCGGTAGTTTTTGGACTGGTAACAAATTTGCTGTTCGTTGTTTCAATGGCCGGTTCTTCGGTTGTCATTTCATTGACTCTTGTTGTGGAGGGGGTTTCAACCACTTGAGGTTCAGATGTCGTGCGCTTGCCATAGACCTTAATCAACTCAGTGTTCAGGCTAGACCGCTTCTCCAATTCACAGACCAATGCAGCAAACCAGTCATGCAAGCAAAGAGCAGAGAACAAACAAGGAAACAAACAAAAAAAGATTAAAAGGGTGACATGCAGTGCGATTCATTGTCTTTATTCAATCTCCAAAATCATTGTGCTTTTAGTTTTATTTAGTCTTTATTTTTTCCAGTCACTGAGGCCACAAAAACACCATATTACCTTTCATGTTCACGGGCAGATGAGTAGCGGTCTAGGCTCTCCAGCGTCCCTCCACAGAAGCCAAATGAACATTACAGCAAACTAAAAGAGATGTTTTATTGTGTTTTTGACATGGAGCTCTTCTCTTTCTCATTGTGGTCTCTTAAAGGTAAAAAAGGAATTTTTTTCATTTTTGCACTTTTTGTGTGATTTTGACTTTTAGTTTTTAAGATCTATTTAACCCTTTTCAGTTTCTTTGTTGTCTTTTTGCTTTATTCTCATTTTGTCATTTCTATAGTCGGCTTACTTGCATTTCTGTTCAGATGTGATACACTGGACCCTCTGGCCTGCCCCTAGTCTGTTCACACCAACCACACATCTATATGTAGCCCCAACACCAAAGATGAATGTCAATATTAGAAGATTCTACAAAGCTCTGGATTAAAGTCATAACAACAACTTATTGCACCGTACTGCATCTTTGCAGTTGATAAGTCAAATTATAGGCAAATAATACAACATGAATGATTAACATTAAAAATATGTTATTTTAATATTTGCCTGAAAACTGTCATGGAGTAGAAATGTAATTGGCTACTTTCCACCATTATCCATAGTTTTGACTCAGCAGTTAAATAATTGATGTCCCTGGAGGTCATGAACTGACTTGAAACGTGGGAGTCATATTTAACCTCATCTCTTCTCACGATTGCATCTCTGTATTTCTCCAGTGTCCTGGGCAGTTTGAGACCCTCTCCAAGCTCGTCTCTGAGCTCACATTTGGAGACTCTGCTGCCCAGCTCTAAGAGAGCTGGGCAGCAGAACTGCCACAGCCAGCAGGACTAACAGACCAAGCTTCATATCAGCAGCTTGTGTGGACAGAAAAGAGAAAATGAAAACACTGCAGTAAATTACTAAAAGTAATTTTAGTTTGGCACAAATTTTCATTAGAAATAGAACATAAGAAGCTGCTTTAAACTTCAGATTTTATGTTGTTATATGTTAGTTAGCGCTTTCCTTTAGTTATGGTCTTCAGGAGGAAGCAGTGAGAGAAAATCAGAACGTCACCTGAAACGTCAGCTGTTATACAAAAATAAGTTATCCTTCCCAGAAGAACTCTGTGCCAGAAAATAGTAAAACTTTCATGTAGGTTCATTTAATTATTAATATGTCCTGCAAACTTTTACACATAGAAAACTCTTGACTGAAAAAAACATGTCTACTTAATTAATTAGATAATTAATTAAATGTATTATAGATTTTTTAAGTAAAAACCTCATGAGTGAGGTGAGACACTTTTCCCCTAAATTCAGTAAAAGTTAAGCAGTGCTAAAGTTAACTTTTGTAAAAGGTGGTTTGTCCTTCTTGTCTTGTTTCACAACACTGATTTGCACTGATGAAATAAACGTACCTTAATTTCAATATTTTTGGTCATTTAAATAAAATGTCAGCAAACTATGAACAGTGCAATCAGAAAGAGTCAGGAGTGTCGTGTGTGGAGGCGAGGAAGTGACCCAAACGCAGGACTTGTGGATAGTGAAGAACTGAAGATGGTTTATTATGAATCGTGGATGAACAGGGCAGGAACGAAGGACTGACTGGCTGGCTGAAAGACTGGATGGATGGCTGACTGACTGAACTGAACATACATACGGAGAGACGACATTAACATCAATGACACGACAGTGAACGAGTAGAAACAGAAGACTTAAATACACAGACTGATGAGGATGACAATGAGAGACCGGTGAGTACACAGCTGAACATAATCTGGCTAATGACACGAGACGAGCTGACACAGGAAAAGCAGGAAGTGAGAACATGGAAGTGGCAAAATAAACTGAACATGAACAAAACTGAAAGCACTGGGTCAACGACCCAGGAACCCTGACCGAAAGAGTCAAATTCAAATCTAGGAGACAGTGTTTGCTTTTAAACTGATCCATCACAAATACACTTTAAACATTTTCATTTTGCAATATTGTTGTTTTTTTCCGGCGTTCTTTTTCTCTAATCGTAATGCAAAGTAATAAGTTAAAAGAAACTCATAGCAAAAGAGAGAGTGGGGGGATAATAAAGTGAAATGCAAAGTAATTATTATTAAGAGAAGCTTCCTTACTGCGTTTGTTCACCTGATTGACTGTAATTACCTGAAGACTGTCTCTCTTTGTATCTGCACTGAGTTTATATAAATACCTATGAACAATGGAACGACCTGTTTTACTACAGTCATCGTTGTCCACATGATTTCCTTTAAGGAACAAGGACATTTCTTATGTTGAAAGGCACACAGGTGGCTGTGATAATTGTTAAGACACTGATTATAGGTTACATTCTTTTACAAAACCTAAATGTTCACCTGTTTGTTGTGTGTGACTGGTGTGTTTGCGTGTTAAAAAAGGCAGCACACCACAAATCACACTACAGGGTGGGCCATTTATATGGATACACTGTAATAACATGGGAATGGTTGGTGATATTAAAGTCCTGTTTGTGGCACATTAGTATATGTGAGGGGGCAAACTCCTCAAGATGGGTGGTGACCATGGTGGCCATTTAGAAGTCGGCCATCTTGGATACAGACTTACCTGGACTAATTTACCTCTCCGCTCACGCAGTGAAATGCTGTCCAGTTACCTGCTTTGGCTCCATGCTGTGATCCTCTCTGTGCAAGCTATTCTTTCATGAAAAACAAAACTTGTGGCCTTCTTCAATCACCACCAATTACAAAAATGCAGTAAAAGCAATAAGTCTATTGGAATGATTTGAGTTTGTTTTAATGTTAAACATGGTAATGTACTGTAATCCACAAGAGAAAAGGATTAAAACAAAGACAGACATGTAAAGTTAAGAATGCATATTCATGAATGTCACATTTACAATATGAATGAGCAGAAAATACAGTTAGATGTTATTTAAAAGTGTCACACTACAGCTGAAAATGATCCTGGCAGGCTGGACGAGGAAGGTGCTGCTCCCAGACTTCCGCATTGTGGCGAAGGACACTCAAAGCTCTCAGAGTGCAAATATCAAAGCTCGGCTGGTAGCTTTCCTGTTGATGGTTTGGAGACGCACGGAGGTGCTGAGACTGTTCGCTGTGGTGTTCATAGCTGTTACATGGTGAAAAATAGCATGAACACAAGCATAAATACCTTAAAGTCACTGCTAATGGCTTTGCTTGTCTCAAAGGCTGACCGCTCTGGTGGAAATGTCCAGACTCCACGGTCTTGGACTAAAGCTGGCCAGTTGAGACGGTGGTCTCATTTTGAGCAGATTTTAGCGTGTCCTTTCAATTCTTTGCACCCTACGTGTGGGGTGTGTACCTGGAGGTAATGGCCCCTTTCTCCACCATGTTTGGTTCTGGTTGGAGTGACACATTAGTTCCAGTCTCACGGAAAGCAAAGGAGCGACTATTGTCACCTGATGCTGTCCAAGAGGGTGGAATTGGAGTCTATTTTCAAGATGCAGGGGTTACTTGAGAAGTTGCATTATACAGAGAACCACAACAGTTACCTGACTAAGACTACATGCATGGAAGCATTAGAAAATACATGTAGCAGAAATTAGTTATTTTTCAGTATAAAATTTGGTGAATCAAATAGACCATTACGGCAAGGCTGGGATGGTCCATTTGGTAAAGTAAATCCGTTGGGCATCTTTCTTCGTCTTTAGACAATAATTCTGATGGCAAAAGAGCCAAACGGGACAGGCAACAAAAAAAGAAAAAGGAAATACTTTTGTCAAAAAAGAGTAAAATATTATCATTTTAATGAGCTATTGTCAGAAACAAATTAGCATCTTCAGAATACCTCAAATATTTTTGTTTTGTTATGTTTTTCCTTTTCCTCCCATCTGAGGCCAACAGTGTAACTGATTTTTCAACCGAAGAATATTTGATCTTCTGATATTTGTGCTGAAACACTGAAAATATGTTTTTGTCAACTAGAACCGACCACTGGGATCGAATGTTTGCTTATGCATTTGACATTTTTCCTATTTCTGTTGAAACTGAGAACATGTATGTTTTATATACAAGTGCTGTACGAAAAAGAATGATAAATAATGTAAGTATAACTATTTTGCAAATAATGACAGAAAAGAAATCACAGAAATGGTCTTTCATCTGTTTTTACATTTTAAGCTTTTATGCCTTCTTTTTTATCTTTTAGCTGTAACAAGGTAAATCACTGATGAAACACAGGAAAAATCCCTTGTAATCACCACAGCAAAGATTCATATAAAACCAGCAGTTTCTTACCCACAGGCCTTGGAGTGGATAGTATGTACTCTGCCCAGCTGTCCTGGATATAATCCATGCACATCCCTCCCCAAACGTGATCTTCTGTAGAGAAAAAGAAACAAAACTTTTTGCTCTTACTCCTGACATTGCTACACTTCATTAATCATGACTCAGATATCCAAAAATATAAAATGATAAAATGACATTTGATCACGTAAAAGTTCACGAAATCAATAAGGTTACAGACTTTTCTAATCCATTTTTGAAAGCTAACTATAGGGCCAGTTATTACTTCTTTCTCCAGTGGGCTAGTAGAGTTTTGCTCCAGCAAGATAGAGAAATCAAATCCAAGCTATCTGCCGAGTACAGTGACTGCATATTTGGGATTTACTGTAAATGTAATACTTTTATGACAAGAATGATCTGATGTTAGCCAAATATATAGTTACTGCACTACGGCAGCAGAATAGATGTGAAAGGTTTTTTGAAGTCTTTCTCCTTTCAATTTTGAAACTTACATATATACACTTTTACACTGTTCAGTCTTTTGGGGGCCTTGTGCTCAATCCACAGCAGTGTGGAGACCAATTGGCATTTGACAATGAATACAAAATTGGCAGATCCACCACTGGCATCCTGTGCTTTTCACAAATAAGCGCAGGCTCACCCTACGCACCGAAGACAGATGTAACAGGGTCTGGAGAAACTGTGGAAAACGTTGTGCTCCCTGTCACACAACGGTCAGCATGACCGGTTTGGTGGTGGGAAGAAATCACCAGGACACCATCTGCCATCTTATTAGCTTGTCATACAAGCATGTCAGGGTCAGACAAACTACTGAGTATTATTTATGTTGTTGCAATTAAATTTCTGCAAAATAATCCAGCCTGCCACATCAGAATTTCATTTTGAATTAAGGGTTGTGTGTGAATTCAGCCCTTTGTAGGCTGATCATTTTCATTTCCATCAAACGATGCCATCCTGTCGTTCCTAACACAATACGCAGCTCAGTATAGATATAAGCATGACTTTTTTTAAACAAGTTTTTTTTATTTCTTTCTTTTATTTTGTAGCAGTATAATTTACATTTATTACTTATACCATAAGTACATTTGAGGGTTATTTGTAACAAAGTATTTACACGTTATCCAGATTTAGTTTGATAGAGTGACCACTCACTTTGGTTTTAACATAGCTGGTGAGACAAGCTCTTTGGAGTTGTGAGACTCTCTGAACTCATGCAGCCTCACAGCGACACCGGATCCTGCCATCACTGTCCAAGTTAATGTCTGCAACGGATCCCAGTGAAGGTCAACAATGAATCCACTATCACAGTTCAAGTTTGAGAGTTTCCTGAAGAAAACTCAGGAGACACAATTATCTCTGCTGAATTAATGCATTTCTATATCATCAGTAAACCCTTTAAATCTGTGAACATGCCTAATGACAACCCTAAGAAATACAGTCATCTTTAAGCCTCTAAAGTAATATATGTGTGCAGTATTCTGGTGTCATGTGCTAATATATTTTGATGGGTAATGATTATTTTGACCACTTGAGGTTGCTAGTGAGAAGTTACTGTTCTAGTTATGTTCATAGTGTCGTATTGTTAGTATATATAAATATAGTATTTTACTAACTAATAATACTAATAACTATATTTTGTACAGCATATTTAATCCAAGTATAGTTGTAGGCAAAAGAAATGCAGTCAAAGCCTGCGTATAAAAAACAATCACATTAGTGAGTTTAAGCACAGAATAGGAAAAATATAATGAATTCCTTTATTTAATACTTTCGGCTTTGAAATATGTTTCCTACATAAGAAAAGCCTTGTTAATTGAAAAAGCAGCGGAGGACGTGCAGCCTTACCTTAACACGAGAGAGTCATCACATCTATTCGTCCTATCAACCCGAGACCAGATACTTATGTGTACTCGATTCTGCTCACCTATCCTATGTTTCTCTTCTCTGACAGAGAAACCCAACACTAAGTGCTCTGGCAACAAAGAAAACTGATACTAGCAACTTTAATCTCTCTCTCTGCCTCGCTCACTCCCTCACTTGCTCACACACAAACACATGCATACACCTGTGGTTCAAATTTGACCTGCTAGTAATTTGCACAGAGAAATATGTGGGACATCTTATCTTGCATACACACACTTATTCATCCAGAACTTCAAATTCCTGTAAAACAATGTTTCTATCTTCAGTTCAGAGGTTCAAAATTTTATTTATTTTTTTACATGGGGACTGGGTTGGTTATCATAAAGAATATCAGATTCTGCTGTAGATGCAGGCTGGGACCTCCCACCGTCCACTAAGCACTTCTTCTCCAGTTGATTATTTGCTATGGCAGAACTTTTGTCTTCTGTTTGGTCCTTAGTTTCACTTTTTCTTTCATTCTTTCTTTTTTTCAGTTTGTTTTCTTTCTACTCAAATCAGTCATGGCAGAGCATCTGTTGGTTCCATGAAAATATCTCCTTCTTATCTACAGTTTGACAACAGGCTATCACACTGTTTACCCTATAAAGCCTTTGAATGGATGTTGCTGTAAGCTGGTGCTACATTAAAAGAACTGAGCTGAACTGACCTCAGTTTAATTCATATTAACATCTCCAAAACAGGAATAATACCTGGAGCGTACAAACACACTTGTTCAGACGAAGAGAGTTCAACATACCTAGGGTATCTGGTTTTATTTTTATTTTTTTATCTGTGTTCACTTACTCTAACTTACCCAAGTAATTGTTTGACATCATCTAACCAGTCACAGAGGTGTGTTTCACAGATCATATGACTTGTTTTCCACAAAAAATTATCCCACTGAGTGGCGCCTGCTGCAGAAATATTATCAAATGGTGATATAAATCTCTACAGATCACAAAAATGTACCAGTAAAATACAATATTGTTGTTAAAATGATGCTGATAAATGTTGCAGAAAATGTTTTAGTTATTCTGGTGATTTAGTGCACACAATAAATATTTTAATTCCAATTTATAGTTTTATCACCAAGTGCGTTCTCACTGCTGATTATTATTTGTAAGGTGATGGCTGCAGTTCAGACTGAATCCATTTAAACATTAAAGCTTACTATCACACAGCCTAATAAAGGAGATGCTTCAACTTG